GTAGTGACAGTCCTATATTTACTAGTTTCTTTATTGAGGAAAGAAGTCAGTCTTATAGTAGTAATAAGTAATAAGAGTAATGAAATAGTAGCAATAAGAGTAATAGTAATAAGAGTCAGTAACGTAGGAGTGTATTATAAACTCTATAATAGGAATAAGAATAAGTAGATGTTACTGCCCTGTTGCATTCTGATCTTAGTACTTACTAGTCTTTTACTTACTTGTTTCATAAACGGCACTGCTTTATGGTTTCCCACTTGTTAGTTCCATTCTGAAATTCCGTATTCCTAGTTGATAGCTCCATTCTTGTCAGTAGTAACTCCATTCTTGTCAGTAGTCATTGGATTCTTACTTGCTAGTGAAAGGACTGCACTTTTCCCCCACCATATCAGACTGTAGCTGTTGATCCAGATCCTATGTTATGTGGGTTGTTGCTACTAGTATGTCCCTACTCACCTGAAACTGTATTTCCTCTATATCAATCTATGCGCTCTACTCGCTAGTCTTACTGTACTTTCTCTGATTCTTATTGCCCCTGACAAAATTCTATCTGTTATTCTGACATTGCTTGTCATTATTCTGTTGACTTGTATTAATGATAATTATTCTGTTGACTTGTATTAATGTAATGCAACCATTAATTAGCATATATTAACATTAGAGTCATTCCACCGGTTTTCTTATTGAAACTATGTCGGAACTGTCTATTGGTCCTATAACCTGGCTTACTTAACTACACTGATAATAGGGCATTGAACCAATAAGTCAAAGAGTCAGAATACAGCTCATAAGTAATAGAACCAAGCTAAGTAGTAAGTCAAAGCTACCGGTCTGAAACTCTCACTCGACCTGGAACAGGCAATTATCTTTGAACTCAAAACTAGGAATAAGGAATGGAAGAATGAAACCACAACTAAGGCGAATGACACTCAAGCGGAGGCTCTTAGCACCTTACTTACTGCTTTGACTGATTTCTTTGTTTACTTATTTCTGTAGGTCATAGGTGACTTTCGGTATATATTATGCTGTTACTTATTTCTTTGACCGGCAGATTGGAATCGGTCATAACCTCACTTTTGAACTGGAACTGGGGCAGCAGACTGCAATCATCTTTCTGAACTCTTTCACTCCCGGCTCATCTAACTCAAGCCCAGAAATACTCCATTCCAGCTCTTTTCACTCTTTCTCCTCGGATCTAGCCTCTGATCTTGAAACTGATCTCTCCTCTTCTCTTGCTATTTGAACTCAGTTAGTTTAGTGCTTCTGCCTCACCTCTTTTTCATCCACCTCTGTCAACAATCTATTTCACCCTGCTAGCTACTATTAACTGCATTCTTCTCCTCCTGGTCTCTGTTTCTGTCCGGAAGGTATCCAGCAAAAGAATCCAACCTACTACTTAAAGAATCAACCCTAAAGTAAGACCTATCCCTTAACTACCCCAACAAGTAGTATTGACCCAACAAGTCGTATTGAATAGAGGCGCCCCACACCCCAACAAGTAAGTTCACTACCCTAGCCGACAAGCTACTCGGGATCATACTAGGTATTCCACTCTCACAGGAGCAGGACTCCGATTGAAGAGCCATAACCTGAACCTCTATCCTCTAAACTAAGTCTTGTCAACCTCACCCCCGCCCTCGTATTGAAGGGAAGAAACCTCTCTAACGCAACCGCTCCAAAGGAGAATCATGGAATTGACGCAAGGCACTACCCTTTCTTGCAGGCCCTATACAAATAACTTGGAAAGAGGCAAAGAGGCGACCCACCTGTTAGATAAGAGTTGATACTTGTTCCCGGTTTAAATGGAAGGAATTGCGCTGGTGCTCAAAGGAAAGATGGAATTCTTTGTTTGATTGCTCTTTGCCTTAAAGTGAAGGAACTAATTATCTCCTTGTTTAAGTAAGTTGTGAATGAGTCTGGTCGTTTAAGGCATGTTAAACAATGATTATAGCTCATCACTCATGGGATCCTCGTAACCAGTCCCAAAATGCATTTGTAGCCCGGACTTGCTCTAGGCTAAAACTTTACTTGAAGTGAAGCTGACCTGACCAACTTATAAGAATCGATCCGACCTGACTTGCAAACTCACTCCTGTCCCGACTGCTTACTTGACTCACTCCTTGACTTTCATATAAGATAGAACTCCCAAGGTAAAGAACTGGCCGAGTCGATTCGGCTTATGGAACTCCTTCGCTAACTCCTGGCCTTCGACTTCGGTGAACTTCGTTAGCGTCTAAACTCCGTAAGCTATACATTAGACTAAGCTTGTTGGGCAAACCGTACTACTTGACGCCTATCTGGTACATTCCTATAAATCCATATGTATTTCACTCTACCACTTGACTTTCTACCCTTGCTTTCTTTTGTTCAAACTCCTTTAGCACCCCCGCTCGCTAACGGGCTTGTTGGCTTCTACTTTTCTAACTCTTCTCTTATTTAGTTCAGCGCGGTGTACTTTTTTCATTGTTCTCTTTCCTATAATGTCATTTATTAACCCAGGCTCTGGCTCTAACTGCTGAAGCTTCGCTTCCTCTCTGGACTTTGAATCTACTGAACAAGCAACGTCAAATAGAAAGTGACATATGAGTGGTGTTCATGGCGTTAGCGAAAGAGCTCGAAAGATCTGTTGTCATCGGTGTTAGTTGAGTGAGTTCCTGTCTTCATCTAATGCGAGTTGGGTTGATAGGTCAATTACAGGGGTTTCAATTCATTGAGTTGATAGGTCAATTACAGGGGTTTCAATTCATAGGAATAGAGAAATCCAAGTTTCTGGGTTTACTGTTTGAGTTGCGCTAGTCTGGATTTTTCTTATTGGAGTTGTTGCGGGCGGAGCGGGGATAGTGAGTTCATATTCCATGATTTTCTGCGCTTACGGGAGTTTAGTTGACAATATAAATGGGGTTTCAATTCCGTTTGAGTTGGACTCGATGCAAGACTCAGTGTTGTGCTAAGGCGAGTTGACCGAACATGTTGGCTCTAGGGGCTCTTCAATTCCTCTTCTTATATGACATGTGTGCAAGAGAGATTTCTTAAGTTCAATGGATCCGCACGTAAGGAGTTTGCCGGAAGGGATGCTGTGTTGAGTATAGAATAGAATGGTTTTGTAACAGGAGAGGACACGAAGTAAGTAAGAGGCCCGATCAACTCACTAGCGCTCTTAGAAAGCAGAAAAAGTGTTGTATTCTCGGGAACTAAACCACACCTAGTGCCTAGTAGGGGAGAAGATACCTTTGGTAGTTCTAATGCTGCTTTGGAGAACTGATAGACGAACTTGTATTCATGGTAAGGACACGGACAAAACCAACTCCCCGCTTGCAGTTAATAACGCTTTGTATTATAGTAAGATAGAAAAGAAACGAACAAAAACTCAGGGAAACTTAGAAATATATATTGCCCGGCGCGCTGAAAGGGGGATGACACCGAAGAAAACCAACTGAGATGAGAAGAAAAGAAGGGCAACTATTTGAGGGGAAAAACCCGATAGGAAGCTGGTAACTGAGTACTGAGGAAGCTAGTAACTGAGAGAAAGAGTGTATTACCAATCTTACGCATTTAGTACTAAGATACAGAATTGTGGTGAGGCCGAACAACTACTAGAGCAATAAAGAGAAGAATCTAGAGCAATAAAGATAATAATTCATTTCTGGTTTCTTTAATAAGATAATAATGAATTTAGTATGCTTTCTTATACTGTGTCTGTACTGAGTATGTATATGAGAAAGATGAGTGGTTTTTCGGGTTTATTGCATTTATTGGATTCCAAAACTACCCCCATGTATTGTAATTCCACTCATAAACTAAGAATAGGGGTAATCGGGGCCTTCTTTCGCATCCTGAGATGGCTTTATGGCAAATATTACATTTGCTACCCCCTTAGGGGCCAAAAGAGTCCTTTCTCACTATAGGATTTTTGGTCTAATAAAGGGTTTATACCGGCTTTGTTGCTAGGGTAGTCAAAAGAGAGTACCATCTTGTGACAGGACCCATACGCGGCACCCACATCTATGAAATTAATTACACCCCGACCCGAACTAAACTATGGCTCTGTACTCTTCTCGACTACTGACTTTATAACTACTGTTCCACTCTAACAATAACTGGGGCAGTGAAATTAGTGACAGCGAAATCTCATTCCAAATGGCTTATCTCACCCAAGAGCAGAAGCGGCAGTTACAAGATCAGAAGCGGCGCATCTCTAATCTAACACCCAGCTACGGCAGCAACAAATACAGAATTCCACAAGCCCCAACCCCACAAAGTAAGTCAACTAAGGAAGTAAACCAACCGACCCTGTGAAAACATTCCAACAAGAATTCTCTCTTATATAAGATTACAGATGAAACTCGGCAAGTAAGTAAACAAAGTCAGTAAACAAGCCAAACCTAGCAACTTGACCAAACCTAGCAACTTGACTAGAGCGTAAGCACCAACCCTACCCGAGTCACAGGTAAATTCTCCACTTCCCCGCATCAAACCGGGATTTTGGATAGCGAAGTCTACTTAGCCAGTACTTATTGCTTAGCTTCCTCGCCTTTACGTTACTCTGCCCCGACCCGACCGACCCTACTTCTGGATAAGAATTAAGGTAGAACAATAAAATAAGGTAATGACCAGGAGCCCTGGACCGGTTAGACCTATTAGTACCCTACTCTGGCAACTGACACTCGGTCTTCAACAAGGAAACAAGGGTCGATGTCATTTAGCTATCACAAGAACAGGAGACCAGTAGAGGAGGAGCCCCAAATACGGGATTCTTTCTTGCCCAACCCAGTAGTGCTTCTTCACATACTACCCGCGTATCAAAGCGAGCACTCGAGAAAGCCTGTAAGATAGTCTTTCCCAGAACTGCTAGGGAGTACTTTCTTCTTCAACTTACAATAAGGGCCTCTACATTCCCTATGGATACCCTATCTCTAATTCATTCCTTATACCCTATCTCTAATTCATTCCTTATATATATATGCCCGATCTTGAAAAGCACTCTCAATCAGGTTTACGGTGTTTATTTAACAGTTCTTGTTCTTGTAAGTAAATGAGTATTTCTAACATGAGGAATGTAGTAGCACCGGGTAGCATACTTTTTCCCGGTATTCGTAGTACTGGTAGCAGGGCAGGGCGAAATAAAGGTTGCCATCAATGGTTTCTGTTCTTATTAGAAGATTCTATTTCCACGTTCTGTATTCGAGCTAAAGTGAGCTTACAAGTCGGTTAAGGCAGTAGACCCAACTAGTCACTGATAGAGCAAAGAATGTCTACGACACGAACAAAACACTTTCGGAACTGTTCACTCCTTACTTGACTCAAAGAATGGAATATCTATATGATATCTGACTATGAGGCTATTAACTAAAATGAACTCTTGCGATAACTACACCTCTGGCAACCTAACTTCCCGCTTCTTTTAGCACTTACTTTGGCACAGCTTTTCCTTATGAGATGCAACTTGAACGGAGTCTGCTCCTTCTTTGGCTCCTGTTACTTACTTCGTGTCCTCTCCTCTGACTTTGAAATCTATACAAATCTATGAACTGGAGTACTTTGAGCTTCAAAACCGGTACCAGAGATCTTGTTTCTGCTGATGCTAACGCTGAAAAAGGAGACATTCTAAAGCTTACTCTACTGGGCGAGAACCTTTGTTAGTTAGAAGGAAGGTAGATTAGAGAAGAATGATCTGTTCAACTAGATGTTGCTTATTCTCCTTCCACTCCAATCCAATAAGTGTTAGCGGTGCGAGTACCATTGATAGTGCTTGCTGTCGGTTCTTCAAGTTTCATTTTCGCAATTAGATCTTCTGCTTGTTCAGGTTTTAAGCGAGAGTTTTGTGTCAGAGTGAGTAGGCAATCTGATGGACTAAAAGATTAAGCTACAGGGAGTGTAAAGAGCTAGTCTATTTCATTAGGCAAAAAAGCATTATTAGAGCATTTGTTGGTTTTAATGGTGGATTTTCCATTAGCATAGTTTACCAAGGCTTCACTTCAACTTAGCAAAAGAATGATTTCCAGCTAGATAAAGAAAGTATAAGCAACATAAGGATAAGGATCTTCTGTTGTTCGAGTTTTCTCCTAAGCAATGAAAGTTGACTTCGGGTCGGGGTCCGCTTATTCTCTTGAAACTCAAAAGTGACTTTATACAGTTGAAGATCGAGTCACTCTGTTGTTGATACACTTCTATATCTTCTGATCTCGTTGACTTTCCTCTATATGCATCCTTAATAGATTACACTCATTCACTTAGTGCTGAAGAAGGCTATAAGAAAGGTCAAAAAGGGCAAGAAACGGAAATGCTAGTGTTGTCCCGTAGATAGAAGAGAAGCCAGGTGTTGTCCCGTAGATAGAAGAGAAGCCCGCGCACGCCCCTTCGTGTCAAGATCAGAACTCGCTTTCCTAATGTCCCAAAAGAAGAGAAAAGTAGAGTATAAACAGAATAGCCTCCTTTTAAGCGCTAACGAAGCTAGAACCAGCAAGTGCCTTCTGTCCTAAATAAATACTTGTTCTGGGAAGTTTGGAATGGAATTGAACCTATGCAGCACCTGGATTTCCACTAGAATCATAAGGGAGCGTAGAACAAAGCTTTGGCTCTTTCTTTCAACTAATCATCATAAGGGAACCGGGGTAAGCGCGGGAAGGAACGGGAAGTAGACTCCAAAATCAGCAGTGCCAGTGAAGTCGATGAGATCAGTAGCTTGATCGGAATAAGGTAAAGAATAAGGATCATCATAAGGAGCAATAAAGTCTATCGGAACAGACGCAAGAGCCCTTTTTGTAAGTTGAAGCTATAAGCGGTTCTGAACGGATAGTCTAGTTTGGGGTATAGTAGTAGCTTGGAAGTTTACAGAGTTAGAGGATAAGACGGAGCCTAGTCTGTAGCAAGTGGGTTAGATAAGAGTCCAGGGCTAGTTCCTGTGATAAAGTATGGTGAGAAGAGTTCGGTTCGGGTGCTAGTGTTATATCAACCGGGCTTTCCCCTTGTATACGAGTTAGGCTCGGATGCTTGTGTTAAGCATAGAAGAAAAGATATAATTGTGTGGCTCTGATCCCTACTTGGCCCCTACTTCATTCATGATTATCTTATTAAGGATTGAGTTTAGAAAGATAGAAGCTCCACAGGGTCGGGGTTAATAAAGAAGTGTTGTTGATTCTTTACCGCAATTAAGGTTAAGGCACTGGACTCAAATCTACCTCATTGGCAGCCTTCACCCGGAGTTTGCCTCTGACTAAGCCTTAGCTTCACCTTAAAAGAATGCTTGGACTAGACCAGACCACAGATCTTTTGTAAATGAAATCTTATAATCAGAACAGAAACTATTGATGGCCGAACACAGGACAGAGTCAAGGGAGGCTTCATACAAACACCGCTATACTTGCTACTTGGGCATGAGAACTTCGATTCCACTCTAAAAGAAAGATACTTGACTGACTTTTGAATCTCTAACACCATGCTACCTGGCACCTGACCTATACATTACTTCTAAGCCTTAACCTGACTTTCTCACAGGCACTGGGGCAGCAGACTTTCCTCGCTCACACCTCGCATCAAAGGCATTCCATCTAAACCTTCATAGCTGTAAGTTTGATCCTATATGAAGAATTGGAATTCAGGGGCAGATATCTAAGTGGTTTTCTACCTTCCTACGTAGCTTGTCACCCTCCGCTTGTCGTTTCTTTGTCGGTTTTTCTTTTGAGTTTAGCTGTTGGTAAAAGAGTTAAGTCGGGTCTTCTACTCCCTTATTCTTACCCGGCTCCAAAAAGAGAAGTAAAAGCTCTAGTCTAGCTCTAGGTCTCGAGGCCTCCATAAGAAGTCTAGGGTGCAAGTCCAGTAGTATACGCTTGTTGGATCAAGACTAACTTCCCCGGCTTCAGATCTTGTTCCTTTAGTTTGATACCCTCCCTTCCGTAGGAGTCCGCTTGCCCACTTGCTATATGGTTTCAGAATTCAGTTAGATGAGCAAGATAAGAGTAGAGGTGTAGTTGCCTTGCCTTAGTGGGGAGAGTCGCTCTAGTTGAATGAGTTGTCGATTCAGAAAGGGAAGCTAGTAGTTTCTTTATAAAGAGTTTCGTTGACTTACCCTATTGCAGAGAATGGGGGAACTCATATGAGTGGAATTCTTTGACTAATGAGTTTGATTCTTTACTGAAGTACTTATAGCTTAGCTTCCTGGCAGAAGCCTGAGTTCAAATAGTCTCTTGAGCACCAGAGTTGGGTTAGTTGAAAGAAGTTAATAGGCTAGGAAGGAAGTTAGTAGTTAAGTTATGAAGGAAGTTAGTGGTTATGAGGGAAGTTACTAGGCCTGCATCTTAGGCAAAGGCAAAGAAAGCAGATAGGGAGAAGAGAGGAGCAATAAAAGTCTTAGCTGACAGAGCAAGAGGCGAGGTAGGTAAGGGAGTCCAGAGTCGAGGTTTAGTTGACAGCTGCTGTTCTTGTTCGAGGTGAGGCGTGTTGGTGCTGCCGAATTACTATAAGGTCCTGTTCTGGTTGAATCCCCAGTGGAATCCTTATTAGTTGCCCGAGTTGGATGAGCCATAGGTAAGGTAGTATAGTAGCAATAGGGGTCTCATAAGAAAGAAAGAAGAGTTTCAGACCGGATATCAGTTGGAAGTAGTGGTCCTGTCGAATCTGTATTAGTTGACTCCCCGGTAGATGAGCCGGAGTGAGATTCGATGAGAGCAATAACAGTATTAGTTGACATAGGTATTGTAGCCATAGTGATAGTTGACAGAGATAGAGTTGACTTGTCTACTTTCCCTTATATACAAGCGGATTTACCCTTCCTTTCTTTGCCAGTGACTTGGCTGGGATGAAACTAATTCCCCTATAGTAGTTTAAGAATAAAGTAAAGGCTTTGATACGAGGGTAGTTTACTGACTTAGTTGACAGAGCCAGAAGTATAGTATAAGAATGAAGTTAGATGAGCGCTAGGTAGGGTGCCATGCCAGTACAGTTATAGTCGTTGGTGAATGAATGAAATAGTCGTTGGTGAATGAATGAAAATAAGGGGTGGAGTCTCTTAGTATTGGTAGGAGAGTCTTAGTTGCTGTTCTCTTATTCTGAGTATTAGACCTACTTCCTTGTATTAGTGCTGATATCCCAGGAAACTGTATTTGTATTATAAGTATTAGACCTAATTCTTTGTATTAGTCCTCCCTGTGTTTCTCTTTTGATTGAACTTCATTCCACAGCCAGGCAGAGGGGCGGGGTAATGTTTAACTCAAAGCTTACTCATACTTATTACTTCACTGGCATAACTCCCAATACACAACAAAACGAGTTTCTTTCTTTTTATTACTTAACTCTACTCTACTACTCCGCACCGGCATATTCCACTCTTTCACTTAGGGCAGCTGACCAACTTATCATATTTCTATAGCCTGTTCCTTTGCCGACCACAACTCTACTAGGTTAGCCAATAACTTCTCTTGCAGACGCTGCAGAACTATCATTGGAAGACCCGCTTGCTGTTGATAACTTGGATTAGGCTCCTTATAAAGATACTGATTCAGTTGTCGATGTCTACTTTCAATCTTCTGCTTAAGGGTGTGGGTTGAGGTTAGTATTAATTATTCCAGAGATGAGATTAGGCTTCAGTTTACTTTACTTCATACACTTCGACAAAAGTGCTTGTGTTGTCGGTGAAGAAAGGATGGTTCCGGTCTTGGCTTGGCTTAGAAGAAGAATGATTGTTCCCACCCGCTTCCCTATTATAGATGTTGGTAACCAACCGGCGTGCTCTCTCTTTGCCTACCTAGTGCTCGAAACTCAAATGGTTGAATGAAACTAAGCTTTAATAGAGACCTTATAGTAAGTCCCTTATAGTAAGTTAGCTTGTGTTAAGCAAGTAGTAAATAGAGAATATAGGACCTCCTGAGGAAATAGATAATATGGGACCAGTACAAGCAGATGCCCTTAAGTCATTGGGGCAGGAGAGGAAGCTTATTACTTCAGAAATAGGATTAGGAACAGGGCAAAGTCACTACTGGACAAGTAGACCAGCTCAATAGATCTCATTTCTATCTGATATAGGAAAACGGAAGCGGCAGCCGCTCTAGATTAGGACTCCGGGCCAATCAACTACTTAGCTCAGGGCTTTCAACCTACCACTCCACTACAGCAGCTGGCTTTCATCTTAGCTCTGCTCTTTACTTCCCCGAACCCCTTTCCCTGTCCTAATTGGGGTGTGAACCTGCATTTGATTCCCGAGTTGCCGAGTTGGGGCAAGCTATTAGTTTCTTTATAAAGAAGAGAGTTTACTTAACTACTGTTCCTGCTCGAGTTGCATCCCCGAGTTTCATCTGTATTTGTTTACAGAGGTGGAGGAGCAATCAATGGAATAGTTCTTAAAGCCATCAATAGTGAGTAAAACGTATAGGAGCTGGTAGTAGTTAGTTACTTGTTTCGCGTACAGTACGAGTAGGAAAGTGAGAATTCCCTTGGAAGGGCATAAATCTAAGTCCGGCGGTTATGAGTATATATATAAGTCCAACCACTAAAAGAATTGCACTCCAAGTAAAGGACAGAAACGGGTACTATCTAGTGCATTACCCAAGCTGGTACTATCTAGTGCATTACCCTATCTAAAGCTGGTACTATCTAGTGTATTAGGTAGAACACTTAGAATGAAAACGACTGACTTGTATATCAAGGGCAATCTCTTCTCTTCTTGCAACTAATACTGAATCAACTGGACCACTACTTGAAGGCCCTGTTCTGGAGAGATAGTAGTTAAGGTTTGATGCTCAGCAGATATAGTAGGCTTTGCTTTCAGGCAAGCGTATACTAGTTTCATCCCGGCCAAGTCACTAAGGGCCAATCAACTACGGGGCCTTAGTTTCAAAGTTAGAGACAAGCAACTACAAATCCTCATTTTAGTATTCGTGGCGTTAGCGATCGGTGGGATTCGGTTGGTTACTTAGCTCTATTAGGCGGAGCTCATTCTGAAGTTTGCATTTCATTCTGACTTTATGGTTGAGTTGAGATCCCTTGTATTATATTTCGAGTACCCATCGAACAGGAATTGGAAGAATGATGGTATCAACCCATCGAACTGGAATTGGAATAATGAAGATAGAAACCCATCGCATCGAACAGGGATGGGCAGAATTCGGGTTGGTGGAAGGAATACTGACAGGAGTGGTGAGTTGACTTACTGGTATTGTATAAGAATTCACCTAGTTGTCGACTTGCCTAGGAACACTAGCTAAGGAGCCCCGGGGATTGAACCGTGTTATGATTTCTTATGTTATGCCAAAGCGTATATAGGCCTGATCCTAGTATGTTATGCCAAAGCGTATATAGGCCTGATCCTAGTAGCTCGCATTCATACTTACTATTTTCTGCGTCAAATAGAGAGTTGGATAACGAAACCAACAAAAGGGTCCGTTTTTCTCGAGTCTTCTTGGTCGGCGAAGAGTCATCACAGATATCCTAGTTTTTCTTTCGTCAATCAATTCTATTAGCACCTTCGGATCTGGAAGTTAGGATGTTCTAGTTACAGATGAATGGAGGGGGCTTTCCGAGTCCATAATATGGGAATCGCTTGTTATTTAGCCGACTGTGCACGACACTCGAAAGGGAGGGGGCGTAGAGTAAGCCGCTTCACCTTCTTGTACTAACTTAGAGCATTACTAACCCAAAGCAAAGCCAATCCTTTAGGGCATTAGCTAGAACCAGATAACTTTGGCTTGATGGTAATTCACCATCTCAGTGATAAAGTAGTCTGCTGCAAGCGAGGAAAGAAATCATATTACTCCGCCGCTACAAGGCCTTAGAAACCTATCCCTTATTACCAATATTCTGCATTTGAAGTCGTGGTTTCATATCTATCGCTCGCAATTCTCCAACTCTCTTCTTTAGTAGAGGACCGGAGGGAAGGTAGAAAACTACAGGTTTACAATTGATAAACACAGGCCAAGCTACATCCTTATTATATGGCAAAAGTGAGTAATAACAGCTTACTTGCTCACCCAGTGCTCTTAACCAACCATAGCTACGTTTTCATCAATCTCGTTTCTTTGGGTGCTTCAGAAAGGGGAGTTGACTATGACCCATTATCTGCATTAGTAACTGAGGTGCCCTAACTATATAGTACTGAAGTGCAGAATTGACCTCGCCTCTTGCTCTTGCTCATCTACTTCGAAGTTATTCACAAGTACTGTATTTTAGGGAATGTTTTCAACTGCGAAATCTAATATGAATTGGAATTAAAGGGCAGATTCCAGGGCTGATATATAAGTAGTTTAATACCTTCTTTCATCTTAGAAAGAAATAGATAACCACAAAGAGATAGGTAGCTTTCAAAGGGAGATAAAGATTCCACTTGCTTTCCTTTTGCCTGTTTATTGACTTTATTGGAATCAGCAGTTAGAGAATCCGCTGTGCGAGTAAAGTCTCCAAGAGAGGAGTCGGGTGCTTGCCAATCAGTAGAGAGAAATATAGGGTCCTGTGTTGATGCTCCAGCTCTAAGTCGGTAGATGAGACTGTAGGTCTGTTATGAAAGTGAAGTTCAAGGTCTGTTATGAAAGTGGAGTTCAATTGTCTAGCTCCTCCTGTGTTCCTGTTCGAGTGAGAGTTTAGGTTGGAAATGCAGAAAGTCAGAATGAAAGTAGATGAGCCAGAGGTCAGAGGTATAGTCGTGACTTGGCCTCCGCTTGTGGAATGACTTGTTTTATTCCATGGGCAAGGTAGTAGGTAAGAAAGGTAGAGAATAGAGTTTACTTAACACCTTAGGAATAGCTGAATTCAATGAAAAAGAAGTGCAATTTCTCATATACCAACACAGTATACACATAGTAGGGGAAAATATAGGATAATTTGGACTCTTCTTATATAGGTGAACGGATTCTACTCTGAATTCCTATACGAGGGCAGGGTAGTGAAATCACAAATAGGGCAATTCCGTAGTTAAAGAATTTCACAAATAAGGTATCGGCTTTGAATCAGTAGAAAGAGAATCAGCAGTGCCAGTTACAGTTCTCAAGTATGGTTATGAGAGGTCGATAGGTAGGGTCGGTCGGCAAGGGAACCAGTTCATAGTTGTAAGAGGGAAGCAGTTCAGGAGGTAGGGTCGGGGTTAACACTTATAAGAGATAGGCTCGGGTAGTTTACCTAGGCTCGGGTAGGCTTTTTGACTTACTTGGCGGGTAGGTTTACTTACTTAGTTGACTTACTTGCTTTTTCATCTGTCTTTGTTTACAGAGCCAGAGTGGAGGTCGGGTTAGTAGCTATAGGTACAGAATAGAGGTGAAGTTACAAGTTATAGCCAGAGCCAGATAGGGATGAGATCGAGGTCAGTTATGATTATTAGTGGGAATACCTTTAGTTGTAGTCCAGGTAGTAGTGGTCCAGGTTGCCAACCCAGTGGAATCTGTCTTTTGACCCCTAGTTTCATCGTATCTATAGGCAGTGAGAAAGTATGGTGTGTTGGTGCTCTAGCTCGAGTATAGGCTTGCCCCTGTTCAGTTCTAAGGTATCTCATGGATGTGGGTAATTCTAAAGAAAATAGAAAGAAACTAGAGCCAAGTAGTGCTGTTAAAGAGGTGGGCAAGGGAGGAATCATACTATACGGATCTAAAGCATAAGCCGGGTGCCCTTATGATTATTAGTTGAAGACCTGATTGAGAGTGAGAAAGTCTGGTGTTGCGCAAGAAGGAGCCAATGGGATAGATAAGATCCCGACTACTTATTATAAGTAAGGGCGCTAAGATAAGTTAGTTCAATTCTGATCTAGTAGGCGACTCCCCCTGCTTTAAGTCTTATACTCCCTAGGTGCTTTAAGGCTTCTACTTACTATATGAATTCTTTGCCTACTGAGCTGCATTCTGACTTTCCACTGGCACTCCTGGCTCGTTGCTTGGCCCCTTACTTGCTGGTTCTATTCTGATCTTAGTACTAGGTGTGGCATTGCAGTAAGTCAACTCCCCTTCCAGCTTCAAAGCCTTCTACTGACTAGCTGGCTCTAAGGCTTATACTCACTACTTGCATTCTGTAAGGGACACTAAGGGGTCTTCTTCAACTCCACTTGAAACTTGAAACAAGCAAAGCTGCTGGCAACCTCTCCTCAAGCGTATACTACAGGGCTGGGCTCGCTTACCAAATCATTCCACTTGCTACTCTCACTCGAACAGGAGCAGAACTACTCGACTCTCACCTAGACTCAAAGCCGGAGTCCTCTTCAACACCCGACACCTACCTCGTAATAGAATTCCCTGGACTGACTCTGATTACCCACATCCATACTCAAAACTCTTATCCATTATTCCTAAGCTTGTTTATTGTCCTGCTTACCGCTTTCTTTTTTCTACATTAACAGCTTTAGAAGGAATTCATTCCGCCTCGAACTCACCTCTTGACCCTTGCGTAAGCTGAAGACTGGAATCCAACTCGCTAAGCGTCAGCACCTATAACGTTAGGGCAACTGATCTCCCTGAACTCGCCTTTATTCATCGCCAACCGTAATAGAAGTGACAACTGGTTCTTATCCATAGATGTAGTACCCATTCTCAGAGGCTTGTATTTGATATTACTTGTTTCTATGCGCTAGATAAAGTACCTTTTGTTTCATGATGACATTGCATTGGATTTCTGAATTAAAGTAAGGAGCACTCGGTGAGGTTGGTTGGCGAGAGGGATGGCAATTCTTAGTTGTTAGATCCATTTCTTCTCCCTTCTTCGCTCTTGCTTGTTGACTTCTCTTCTGGAACTCTCCTTTCAGTAACTTACAATAAGGGCCTCCACATTCCTTCCCGAATTATATATTAGGCCTTCTCTAGCTCTATCTTCGGTTTCTTATACATGTGTGAGTTTAGTTACATCCTATATCCCTTAATGCAGAGTTGGGATAAGTAGTGAATTCCAAAACTATGACTTTAAGGCGGAAGGAGTTGGCTAAGAGCACTAGGCTGCTGGAGTTATATTCTTATTAGTTGTGGGTTCATAGTAGCTAAGTATACGCTTGGCCCCTTACAGCTTACTTATATTATTTAGCTCCACTATAAGGATTACTTTACTGTATATAAGGATAGAGCTACTGCTTCTCTTCTTCATAAAAGAATAGAGAATAACAGTAGTTAGTATAAGAATGGATAGGTGGCGTAAGGTATCAGAACAGCCTACTAACCAGTCAAGGAATGAAAGTGTCTAGACATAATAAAACAAAGAGTTAGGGCATACGGGAGTGGAAGTACCAATCCAAAAAAGAGAACTCGGGAATCAACCGCCAAGCAACGGCCAAGCTGACAGGCAATAAACTACTTACTTAGGCCAAGCCGACAGGCAATACGGAACTACTGACTAGTTCAATTCTTAGCTTTGAGCGAACACTACCCCGACCTCTTATAAGTGCCCGACCCGAACTAACTCTATCTCCCAGCTACAGCTTCTAAGGCTTTCATTCTTGTTAGCACTAGCTCAAGTCTGATACTTCACAGTTGCATTCTTAAACTTAGCAGCCCCAACACAGGACATAGCTTCCCTCGCCTACCTCGACTCGGGCAACTCAGTCAACTAATTCTGATTTCTTACCCCGACCAGCTCCATTCTCATACATACGGGTTCGAGCCTGTAACTCACTGGTTTGGTTCTATGACTCCCGGGAATAGACTTGTATTCTTACTTCACCACAACACTAGCACCCAATACTGAAGCTTCAAAAGGTGGTTGAGGCCTCTTTCTCCTTCTAGCCAACCCTAGTACAACTCAAAAGTCAAAAGAAAACATATCATATATACTCATATCATATATACTAATATTTATTCAAAGAGGAGGAGGACTTCCACTTTCAAAGAGGAGGAGGACTTCCACTTCCACTCAATTACTTACCTAAACTAAGTACTTACCAGAACCATCAAATTGACATTACCCTCATTGCTTAACACAAGCACTCGACCCTGTCCTGAGTTAACCTTCATTTGAGTCAAGAGTTTCACCTGTGTTCATTGCTTTGATACGAGAGTTTCACCTGTGTTCATTGCTTTGATACGAGGTGTCCAGAAAGAGTCCGATAACACTCACTTCACTCGCCCATCTCATGGGAATGTCGTCTAGGAAAGGTGCTTGGTTGCTCCTTCCTTCCTTTCTGAATTGAGTGGAAGAGGGTAATAATTGAACTCCAAGGTCAGAAACAGAGGAATTAGCCGAGTATGATAGAAGAAAAGAAGGTATAACTTCGTGCCCCTTCCTTTCTGAATTGAGTGGAAGGTTGCATTTCATAATAGAACTGTCAGCAATAAATAAAGAATGCAATTCCAAAGTGAGAGTTTACCTCCTTCTCGCTAACCGCCAAGCTTAGTATAATGTTGCGCGGCAGTTGCCAACTCTTTCCCGCCAACCGACCGAGTTCTCTTACAAAGTATTCAACTTTCAGGTAATAACCAGAGTGCTGAGCGAGGTCTGCTAGAAGAATAGATGGAAGAGTCAAGTCATAAGAGTAGTAAGATATCTAAAAGAGTCAAGTCATAAGAGTAGTAAGATATAGATTCAACGTCTGCTAGAAGAATCTAATAATCAAGTCAGAAGTAACCTCGAAACGAAGATGGCTACGCATTAAGAGATAAAAGAAGTCACAAACCCAGTACCTTACCTTCCCTTAAGACATGATCGACTACAGGATCAGAAGCGTCAAAAGCCGGATCCGGTGAAGCATCAAGCGGTTCCTTTCCTTAAGTGGAGGTCGGTTCGGGTAATAAAGTGGAGTTCCTTGAGATCAAAGGAGGCCAGGCCAGTTCCAGTTACAGTTCTTGTGAAATATCAGCTAATGGAATTGTATAAAGAAAGAAGATCATCTCTTTTCTTTGCTTTGCGGCAGATATATAAGTAGCCCACTACACTCCGTCGGTGAAGTTGAAAGCTGCTGGTATTTAGGTATAGGTAGAGGCCAGTGGAGTATCTAATATATAGTCAAGGTTATAAGATCAAGATTCCATTCCATAGTACAGGTCATAAGATTCCCTAGTCAAGGTAATAAGATCAAGATTCAATTCCAAGAGGAGAGTGAACAGTAATCGGTTTTTCATGAGTTTCATCCAACAAGCTACTACTAGACGTTGAGCCCGAAAGACCCAATTCCGTATTAGTTGACTCTGCACTTCAGGAATATGCGCTGAAGAAGGGAAGAAAGAATAGATGCCTTAAAACAAGCAAATCTTACAAGACAAGCCGACTAGTAAGTCATAGAATAGTATGTAGAAGTAGAATACTATGTATGGTAGCTGGTCGCGGGTAACTAACCTACCCTAGTGCTCCTTCCTTGTTTCATTCAGTATAAGTTGGCGGGTCTACAAGTTCTTTCTTTTGAGTTCGGGTGCTAAGGCTAAGCAAGTTCCAGTGCTTTTTCTGGCTTACGTTGAGGTCGGATAGCTCTGTGGAGATCTCCGTTTGATAAGAAGCCTCATCTCATGCCCACTCAGCAGTTAAGCGGTCAAATTGTCTGTAAGTCATACTTTCCCTGCGCTCTAAAGGAAAGAATATTCCATTGAGTATAGATATAGATAAGATAACTTACTTATATACTATGGCAAGAAAGAACAAAGAGTACTTCTTTCTTCAGCGTCAAGTTAAGTCATGTTAGGCCCAGCCCAACAAACAAGCTTAGGTGAGCATAAGGGAACAAAAGAGAAGAGAAGGGTTTTGGTGTATTCCTAATATATATATAGCATAAGTTCAATTATCTAGTATAAGTGCAATTACAATTAATAGATCCATTTCATTTGTGGAGCTTTTCGAGGGGCAAAGATAGGGAATTTCCAATATTGCTAGAGTCGAGTGGATTCGGCTTACTTATACGATGAAACGGAAACTGGTTATGCTGCTGCACATTAGAAGAAAGACTTCCTTCTCCTTCTCCTGCTACACCGAACCTAGATTTCACTAGCCCTGCTTGTCATCTCGGATAAAAAACCATCCCAGCTTCTTATTAAATAGGATCTTGAACTGGGCGAACTGGAACTCTAACTGAACCTCTCCCCTCTCCTGTAACTGAGTTCTACACTACCGTTACTATATATATTCTATTCCACAATTCTCTTCTTGTGGTGAACAGGACATTATTCATCTCTTGTGGTGAACAGGACATTATTCATCGCCAACAACAATAACTCCTTACTCTACTTACTCGGATACTGCTGATCAAGCTTTTTCTCTCGGCGGCCTTTCGCACTTAACTGCAATGCAACATTTCATTGAATCTCTGTTAGCGCTTACAACAGATCCGTTAGCTCCCCATTATACAAAGCTTGTTCGTTCGGTTCGGTGCTTGCTCTTTCGAAACAGCTTGTCCAAAGAATTTCGTGCACAGTTCCATTGCTTATAGAAGAGTGTAAAAACCGAAGTTCTGCTAACGAACAACTGTCCTCTGTCCCTCAATCCTATGAGAAGCATGTCCCTGAGTTGCTTTAATAATTGAGTGCAAAAGAAAGAAATAGAGAGGCACACGTTGCTCTTTAATCAAATTCTATTTGAGAGGCACCCGTTGCTTTAAGATTGTCATCTTGATTGGCAGCTGCTAAGTAAAGAACTCCCGTAAGCTATTATAATGGCCTGAGTCAAACAGGCAAAGTCAAGCGTCTCAGCAGAGTCAACTCAAAGATGGAAATTGGACGTTAGCACTTCGCTTGCTGCTTCCTTTCGC